AATGAGTTGATTAAATCAATATAAAATCAAAATATTAAACAGATCATTGGAGACAGTGCTGAATTTTGAAAGACAAAATTGGAAGGAAAGATGTGCTAGAAACTGCAAGAAGTGGAAAATAATTGTGGGAATTATTATATGATTTTAAAAAGGATAAGAATCAATTCTAAGATGGCAAAATTGTAACAAAAGAACACACAATCTTCCTTTTTCTTTTTTCCTTCCTTCTTTTCTTTCTTCTTCTTGCTTTCTTGACTTCTTTCTTTCTGCTCTGAATTTAGCACAAAGTTTCAGAAGTGGCAATGAGGGAAGGCAACAAGAATGCCTTTATTCAATGAATACAAGTCCTCCAGAAAACATAGACTTGTAACAATATAGAAATATTTGTAGAGGGGCCAGCAGGTGGCATAGTGATTGGGGCACTGGACTCCCATATGGCCGACCATGGTTTGAGTCCCAAACCTGGAGGCTTGCTTTTCCACTTTCCCTTTCTCTCTCTCTGTCTCTCTCTAATCAAGTTAAACAAATAACAATGATGATAATAAATGAAATAAAATAATTCTTTAAAAAACTTTTAAAAAATAATATTTGTAGAACATTACTATATTAATCCAGTTTTCAAAATAAATTTTACTTGAGCATCACAAGGTTAAATACCATGTGATGGGGACTAGGAGATGGTGTAATGACTACATTGTTGGAGTCCCACTTAATCAACCCAAGTGTGAGTCCCAGACCTGGTGGCTTAAACTCAGGCTGGGCGCGTGTGTGTGTGTGTGCCTAAGATCCCGAGAGGAAAATGGTGGAAAAGGGATTGCAGCGTGACCATCTCCCCTGTGGGGTGATTTCTTCCTATCTGTCTCTCTGTCTCTTTCTGTTTGATGAGTGCATGCACCCTATAGCAAAACCTCTCCCCCCCCAAAAAAAAATCATGTGATGAGGGGGTGCAAAAGAGGCACAGGACCTAACCATGATGCTCTGTGAGGCTGACCCACAAGGGAAGATTTGAAGCCTGTGTCTGGAGAGTTCCCTGAGTAAAGCATGTACATGACTGTGATTTGGGACTAGGGGTGCATCATGGCCTCACGACCCCATTGGAGTTGCTGTCTCTCTCTGTCTGTCTCTCTCACTCATGAAAGAAATACATCAATACAGCTTCTTTTAAAATACCATGTGGTATGGTGGAAGTGGCACAGTAATGCAATGGGAAATGAAAACATCATCCACATGTATCTGGGAATCCTAATCTATGTTTAATACTGAATCTTGGATTTCAAAATAATCTTAGGAACAGTTCAAATACCTAATAAAGACTAGGGTCAAACTGAGGAGTCATTTAAAATTGGAAATTAGCCATACCTTGGTATCTATTCTTAAAAGAAGTTGTAGCTGCAGGTTACTTTCATTGGAAGGGTTCATTACTACTCTCCTAGAAGGAGGGGCTGGGAAACTTTGCCACCAAACGGCAGACTGGAGAGCTTAGAATTTCCACAACATGTTATCAATGCAATTTATTTAATTTTTAAACTTCCAGAAAGGGGTGGGCAGGTAGAAAGACTCCCCAGTGGGGCATGGTCACACAGTAGTCTCTTTTCCTCCATTTCTCCATCCTGTTAGGATTTTGGGCATGTGTGCGAACACACCACTTGGCATGTCTTTCAAGACACCAAAGTCAGGACTTGAACCACAGTTGGCAATGTAGGATGCAGCATCCCTTAATCACTAGCTATGATAAATATAATTTAGAATTTGGAAATTTTTTGTTATTTTTCCTTTAAAATGATGTTCTAAATTAAACCATCTAGAGATATGCACTAAGTAAAAACTATTTGTTGTGTATATTTGAGCTCAATAAATATACACATGGATGATTATAATTGCTACTGTTGATGAATGAAAATCTATATAGGAGTTTCCCTTGGCATATATTGACATAATTGATAACTGCTATATTCTAGGAAGCAACAATTTAGAACAAAGCAATTATAAAGTTGCCCTAGGTACACAGTTGGTATTAAAACACAATTTTTAAAGTTTGCTCATAGAATGCTTTCCCTGATATGTTAATAATTTTTTATAAAGATATATTTTTTACAAAATATTAATTCCATTTCTCCATATACATACCAGATATCTTCTCTGATTCTGTATAATATTTACTAGGTAACAATTTAATCCACTTCTCAATCCAAATGAAATGTAAATAATTTCAAAAGAAATGCTTTAGGATCAAAAGCAATGGAAGAAAAGAAAGCGAACAATAATTCTGAAATCGATAGATGGAAACAATGCAAATTCAATACATAGATGTACCAGATGTACCATATTAATATCTAAATTCAAGTAGAACTTAACAAATTATTGATAAGAACCTCGACTTCAGCTAATGTTACATTTATTAGAGCCTTAAAATATAGTATAAGTAAAACTAAAAGTATTTGAGGACTAATACATCTGTTCTTCTATTTTTTTTTTTCAATTGCAAGGATGCAAACTCCCTGAAAACTGAGGTTTATTAGAACAAATCCCAAGGTAGGAAAGCTGATGTTAGACACAAACATTGCCTAAAAGAGTTGAAGCCTTTCTGGAACTATCATTAAAAAAAAAAAAAAAAAGAAAAGAAATTAAGAAGTGGGCCACACAAATTATACAGATTTTAAAAAGGTATTTACTTGAGGTCTAATGCTCTAGTGAGATTTACAAAGGGAAGATGGAAGTGATGCTTCAAAATCACCCACCTTGTAATGACTTGAGCATGCTTGTGAAAACTTTTGCTTGGGTCTATAAAAATGAACACTGTATCTACAAACATAATGTTTATATTAAAAGAAATACAATATATTCTTTTGTTATATGAAGAAAAGCTTGACAGTTCAATATCATGGTGATGTGGTATTGACAGATGCAAGATGAAGTTGAGCCTCATTTTTTTAACTTCATCATTTTTTTGTCTAAAATAATAAGCATCTTTGCCCGTCAACCATGTGTGCTAACCTCACCTGCAGTATCTTTAACCTGGAACTACTCCATTAAGGTCATCCCTTGAATAAATACAGACTTGAATGTTGCTTTGACTGAAACCACCTTGCTAATTAGCAAGGCAATTACCTGAGGCCTGGGAGCCTAATACTAATGAGTGAGATTCTGCTCTTCGGAGGTGAAATCTAACAGATATTTTTCATTTTACTGAGTCGGAGGGCAGGAGAATCAATCTGGTGAATGGAGCTTCTCCCAGTCATTCATGTATAGAATTCCAAATTCAGCTGAAGTGTTGTGGGCTGTATGGAGAGGAGATTATGGCATAAACATGACTTTGACAATGGTAGTGGAACACTGTCCAGTGCTCTGACTCCACTGAGTGAAAATGAGATCGATCTTAAGAAGGAAGGTAAGGAGAGAAGGGTGGGGGGAGTAGGAGGTGGAGTGTATGACATGCGATGTGTCAGCCAGAGACGGGAATGGGGATTACAAATAGAGGACAATAAATCAAAATGGGAGAAAAAACAAATAAATGTGCCATTTTGACTCATAGTACTAGTGTGTTTTACTTTTCTCTGTGCTTTATCCATTCACAATACTTTTTTTTTTCCTTCTGAGGATAAAAAGGCATTTTTCATATCTCTCCTCCTTTCTTCTTATTTCCACTGCCCAGATTGTCCTTCTCTTTCTTCCCCTAGGCAAATCCAGCTGATATTTCAACTCACAGTTTGCATGTCACTTCTCTGAAGCACTTTATGACTTCTCCCCACAAATTAAGTCTTTTCTCTTCTTGGGTCCCATAGCACTTTTATTGTGAGTTCATGTATGGCACTTACCACCACGTAACCTGACTCTTTTCAGCAGTGATTTATCGAGCTCCTTCTTTATTTCAGGCATCATGGTAGACACTGGGAAAGAGGTAAATTAGAAACCCCATCCACAGGGAGCTCCAAGTCTAGAAAGGGAGACGAGGATGTAAACAAATCACATCACTGTGATAAAGGTGACAAGTATAGACAAGAACAGAGTGGTTTAGCTTGAACTGGTGATGAGACAATCAGGAAAGACTTGCCAGATAAGATGATGGCAGGTCATGTCACAGTTTCCTTTGTTTCTCTGTGAACTTTTCAAGAATGGGGGGGTTATGTCTCATCCATCTTCACATTCTCAACACCCCCCATGGTGTCTAGTGCATGTTAGATAGTCAAGGTCTCTTAGTAGAATTTCATTGAACACATAGGAATCTTTTCTAAAAGATGAAGAGTCTAGCAGCCCAATTTCTTCATACTCAAAATCATCTTTTTGATGATTTGGTTGATTTGGTATGTTTGCCTCTGTTGATGTGTGTCTGCATGTTCAGAATGAATAACCAAGCTATTCTGTTAGCTAGATTGATAGTGAAAATGGTCTTACCCCATGGGGTGCCATTTCTGTTGTTCCTTTCTTTCATTTAGAAGTTCTCCTAATTTACTGACATAAAATTTTTTGTTTTTTTAAAATGGACAACTATAAATAAATTGTTAGAAATCAAACAAATTAATAAGGTTTTGCAGACATTTTCAAAATGTTTTTTTTTTCTTTATGGGAACATGTATTTGCAAACATTAACATTGACTTTAAATAATTATTACAGACAAAGTTAAAATAAAAAGCATGACTGTCTTTGGCATTTGGCCAGTTTATATCTAACACATTATTATACAATAATATGAAGTTGAATCCTATCTGGTGTGTCTTTGAGACGATGAAACCTGATAAAACCTCAATAAATTGAATGCAAATTGTGTTTTGCAAATGAATTCATAGAACACAAATTTCAAAATGTTATATTAATGGCTCCATATTAATAATATGATTGCCTTTTACCTTCTGGATAGGCAATTTCAATAAAGATTTTCTGGCATCTGTAGATCCTGTATGAATCCAAACTAATTGTGATAATAACACATTATAGAATTTTATACCCATATTTCCTTTTTAGGCATCACATAAAAAAGAACAATATTTCATTTAAAGGGCATAAAAATTCACATTATCATCATAAATATAGAATCAATTTACAGATGACTACAATGAAGAAATCTGTTCGCTAATTATGTAGCAACCTGACTCTGGTTCTCAAAATTTTCTAAGCTTATGTTCCTTAACACCATATGTTACAGGGAACAGTAAAGACATCTGAATTCAAATATTTTGAAGAAATATGTATTTAGCAACTGAATACATGCTAAAAGGAATAATTTACAGCAGCAGTTTCATTACATTTTTCTCTCCAGTTTTCTAGTTCCCATCTGAAATGCAATGATAAATACAGATATGGAACATATTTACTACCTGGCAAAAAACCATGCTGATTGAATAGGCACACACTTTCTGCCCTTAAATAGTACATAAACCACCTTATCACCTGTGTGGGAGAGTCTTCCATTTTAGGATAATGTTCAACATATTGAAATGGAGTACCTATAGAGGGTTGTATTTTACACTGTTCTTACCCTTTTTTTCCTCCAAAATTATTTACATCTCTTTGCCTAACATGTATGTAGGTAGCAAAAATATTAAACACATACCATTGAAAATCACTAAATAATACATAAAAAGCATTAAGTGTGCCTTTACATGCGTTTTTATTTTACATTTGTTTTCAACTGGGCCATGATTTCTCTGCTGTGATGCATGTTTTTGGTACCTTAAGACTGCTATTACAATTTGTTTAAGGTCACATGAGTCTCAACAAGTTTCTTCTCTGATGATACATGCATATGCCAAAGTCTATAAAAACTCAATTATTAAGTGGGACATTACTTCTTTTCGTGCAAATTGCCCCCTCTTAATACACATTGGCAGAAGATTATGTCTGCAGTAAATTACTTAACTGTAAGATATATTTATAATTTTCTTCAAAACATAGACCCAATAGTTAGTAAAGACATGCCAGTAAATTTGCTTGTTTTTATTACTTTAAATTGAAGTCTAGACTTTTTTCTATTGGTATTTTATAATGCTAAGCAAAATGCATTCAGATTTTGGAAGGCATCCCTGATTTTTATCATACAATCTTTATCCCTTAAAATCCTTTATTTTTGAGAACTTATAAGAAATAAGATATTTCTGCTCTTGCAAATACATGTCTTTCAGCTGCAAATTTAAGATGAAATGCAACACTGGATTTTAGCGTAGTGAACCCACACCATGAAAATATGAAAATTAAACTTTTCAGAGTACTTTTTGTTATATTAATTATATTTCAAACACTTTTCTGTGCAGGATGTGTCTTTCAAGTAATTTCGCAATTTGGATTATTTTTTAGGATGCACTTCCAAAAGCAACACCATATTAGTCAATGGAGCTTAAAATTGAATGTAGATTATTTTTAGGCTTTTATTTGAAACAAGCGTCAACAAATTGTTTATTCAAAGAATCATTAAAACTGTAACAAGAGCTTCCATCTGTGACATATTTCAGCTGATAGGGAATAAAAATTCACTGTTGTCTGAGGTGAGAAACTAATTCTGAGTTAATTAGAATCTCCAAACAGCTAGAGTTAGAATTTCAATGTTACTTCATTAATTAGCAGTAATATGTGTTCTTTTTATTTTTGTTCATGATAAGGAGCTAGGGAGTGATTCCTGAAAAGACGAGTGTAGTGCAAAAGAACCCCTATTGTAATGCTCAAAGTCTTAAGTCTCTTAAAGTCAGTGATTCTCAACATACCATTTTAGGACAACGAAGAAGAACGTAAATACTTCACAACAAATCTTTTACCTTAATTTTTAAGTTGCTATAGGAAGCAGAGTTTTACATTTTTTTAAGTGTGAGCTGTGTCCTAGAAAACAGTTGATATAAAAGTAACCCACATTGACATGAAAAAAATGATATGTTCCTTATACAGATACTTGTATTAAACAAGGTGAGATAAGAGGCAGCTGATAGAGGTATAAACAGTTGGGGAATTTCCTTTAAGATGATTTTCTGAATATTATTGATGCTTCTCTTTAAAAAAAAAAAAGAAATGACATAGATATAATTCCTCGTGGGATCATGAGAGAGTTTTTATGTCTCAAATATCATGCAGGGATTCAAGCACAGAACCAAGAGACATTTTCTATTAACACTATATTAAAACAAGGCTCATTTTCATGAGCTATGCAGTTCCTTTTCTCTTCATTGATTCGTTAGATAGAATAAAACACATTTAACAAACTTGTTTCTTCTGTTTTTTTCTTTCTCTCTCTTTTTTTTTTTTTTTTGCTAGTTAAATGCTCTGTTTTTCTGACAACAGTATGCAGGTTGATATCAATTTGGATAATACATAAAGAAAAGAAATGAAGGTGAGAACAGCGTTCATTTGTTTGATTTTCTCAGTGAAATAAAGTATAATTTATATCTTGGTTTTAGAAATTAACTGTTAATGATGTATATATGTTACGAAAACAATATCAGCGAACCCTCTTACGGAACTGAAAGTACAATGTTGGAAAAAAAGCAGCACACAATTGGAATTTTTAAAACAAGAACTATATAGCACATAAATTGTGAGACAAAAACCTACTCTAGCTAGCTAGCTTAGAAAACAGCTAATTTTTACTGCATATTTGTCATGGTACATTTAAATTATAGTTTTAATAAAATACATCTTTAGATCAAAGCTGAAAGAAGACATCAGTAGTAGATCAGTGTATTCCATTTTTCTTTTCTGGATGATGGATGGTTTATGTTTTTTGTTTGTTTGTTTGTTTGTTTGTTTTTTGTATTTCCACAGACCATTTCATTCAGTATCATCTTACTTATTTTACTCCTCCAGTACATACAAACGTGAGTGCTGGTAGACAAAAAAATATCCTTGACTCCAACCACATTTTGGAATATTCATCAGCTTAGTAAATCCATGCAGTCTATTTTAAACTCTTAGTTCAAAAAATGGCTTGGCTGATGCATCTTTTCTTCTTTAGATGGCAATATGGCAAATGACATTTTTATTTCTCAGGCAAAGAGAAAGCAAAACCTGTACAATGAAATTTCACAGGAAACATTAAGTCTGCAAAATTGAACATCTGCATTCACCTGTGATGTCTATTAGGTGTTGGTAGTCGGAAGAAAGCCTGTTAGGAAAGTTACTCATGGACTTAATTTATAATTGGTGGAACTCAGCTGAATTTCCCACCATTGTAAACATCCACAAAATGCCATGAAAATAGTTCATGTATATTGCATTTGTTCCAGTTATTGTCTAGGCAAGTTTCTACTTGTTTTGAGGTTTCTAGAGGTAATGTAGCTCAGACACTCCTGGGTGCCCTCTCAAATTCGTGGGTCCTCCTATTTCTACCCTTCTTATTTTCCTGTAAGTGTTTCCATTTGTTACTGTTCCCTTGGGAATGCCCTGGCCGTTGCCGACGTTGTTTTCGGTCCCTTTTCCAAACTTGTTCACAAAACTCATCCATCGTGTTCAGATTAGGGTGATTAATCAGCTGCATGAAGTCTCTGTACCAGACCTTCTGGTTAGGGGTCATGCTGTTGGACATTTCTTTGGTTTTAGAGCCATCTCCATCATCGTCTTTGTGAAGAAGTTCTTCCAAGTGCTCTGTGTCAATGACTTCCAAGGTCACTTTAAGAAGGGTTTGCATGAACCCATGTTCCACAGCATGACAGAGATAATTGCCTGAATCCTTCCGCTGCAGACTACGCAGTAGAAGTCCTTGCTCTGTCCTGATGATATGTTCATCCACTCTGATCTAGAAGTGGGGAAAAAAGAAAAAGTAGATTACATAGGCATATTTGAGAGAAAGATAAGATCTGAAACCCTGTGTCAGTAAAAATGTAGATTACGTGTTGAGGCACAGCTTAATGGTTACTAAAATTTCTCGTGTAGGATAAATGCCAAAGAAGTTTTAATACCTGTCAATTGTTTCCTAAGATGCATTGGGATATACCAGTTTTCACACTGTTTTAATAGAATTTTGTATTACAATAATTAGAAATTTTCAAGGTAACTGGAAGGAAAACAATGGCACATTTTATTTTATACATTGGAAAGTAGGTATATAAACATGGGAGACTGTTAACATTAAACATACAGATTTGAACTGCAGACCCATATCAGAAAACAGTGGGGCCTTAGAGTGAAACTAAAAGATTTGAGAAAAGAAATTTAAAAAGGAATAAAAAACATGGGATTACATGTTTCATATTTATTCAATTTACTAGGTCTTAGAAGTGACATAAATCTGAGCGTATGCCCATGAATATATCTAACCTCACTTTTATTTTGCACACACTTTACTAGACTTTTATATATACCCTATTAATGTATAAAGTTAATTTGACATTTGTATCATGCTAGATTACAGTCTAAAGGCTGCTTAGATGTTAAAAGTATAATGAGAGGATTTTTACTTTTATACTGTTTGCTAAACCATCTAAACATAACATACATCACAAATCAAGTAAATTGTACCAAATATCGTGGTTTCTTTCTTTCTGTTTTTTTTTTTTTTTAACATGATCTAAAAGCTTTGAAGACTGAAAGTACTCACTGAGATCTTCTGTATACAATTCATTGCTTTTACAAAAAAATAGGTCCATTGAGAAGGAAGATCTGCCTGATGCAATATCAGTAGTTTATATCAAAGTTAAAACTGGGACCTGAGGCTGGCAAGTGGTGTGGTGTTAAGGCACAGAATTCTTACATGGCCAACTGTGGTTCTAGTCCGGGACCTGGTGGCTTGTTTTCTCACATTTTGTCTTTTGCTCTCTTTTCCTCTCTCTGTCCCTCTCTGGTGAAATAAATAAATACGTAAATAAAGCTAAATAAAATAATTTTCCAAAAAAAATATGGGTACTTGAAATCCTTCATCCTACTTTGATACTATTTTGTCTCTCCCAAGCTCTCTTCCATATTTGAGGAGGAAGTTAATGGAGAAAGGAAAATAGCAGCATTAATTGAACAAAACTAAGACTAGTAGACCAACTCGTGTTTTTTTCTTTTCTTTTTCTTGGGTACATAAATATAGATAATGCAATTACTTTCTAGATACCCACAGGAGAAATAAGGACACACCAAAATACATCCCCAAGCTGCTTTACAAACTCTTATCCTGTCACTTATTTCTCCAACTCCTAGCACAAAGCCTGTCATATAATCCACCTACAATGAATACTTGTTTCATAAATGAACGATTTACAGGTTAAGAAACAGATAAGGGTTCTCAGTACTTTTTCTTCCCCTCAAGTCAACAATCCTGGGATCACTTAACAGAGTACGTTAGACAGAAATCATCCAGCTAGCTTCATTCCTGTACCTCTTCTTTTCGTTCTTCGTTTCGCCTCTGGAATTGCCAATAGACCAGCGCTCTCTGTGACTTAGGACTGCATTCCAGGAATGTGCTACTGTTTTCTACTCCATAAATGATTCTCTCTTCAAGGCTGTGGCCATGGTGATTATCTGAACAGTGGGGAGTTGGCAGGGGGAATGAAAAGAGAAAATGTTAGAGAGGTAATCTCAACTTTCCAAAGTATTTATTTGGAAATTTAGGAGATAAAGTGTTGCCAAGTTGGAATTCATTTTCAAATTGATTGAGGATGGCAGAAATGTCAAGGGTGTAAGATGCCTACCTCAATAAACTAATCATTTAGGTATGAGTTATAGAAAGCATACACAAAGATTTGTCTAGCAGGAGATAACATTACGTGAACAAAATCAGTCATGTGTACAGCATTACTAAACATCTTTATTTGCCAGCATAAACCTCTAAAAGTAAATAATTTTCACTGCAAAACTCTGTGTTCTAACGAATGGAGCCAGTTTATACTGTACTATGCTTTAGAAGAAAAGGTTATTGGTCTGGGGTTTTGGAAACAAGAATCTGTTTCTGAGAAATTATTTTGCCTCCTCGTGTTTGTTTTTCATCTGTGAAAATTAAATCCACCAACCAATAATATTTATCTAGCATTTTACAGAAGGTAAAGTTCAGGAAGTTTATACTCCTCACCAAGACCCCCTAAATAATCCACAATTTTGTTCTAAAGATCAATTGGTATGAAATGTTTGGGGTGGCTCAGAAGAAAGATGCATAATTATAATGCAATATGGTTTCAATTGTCCTTATTTTAAAATGACACATCTTTTATTATTTTCAAAAATTAGGCTACGGAATATGGCAAGAGCATATAATAAAAGGCAGCAATAAGAAAACCTGTTTCCTGATTAAGTTTCTATTATTTTACCCTTTATGTAACCTCCTTCAATATGGTAAATGAAACACAGTTCAGATCAAAAGTACGACACAGGGAGTCTAGGTAAAACTCATTTGAGGAACAAAATTCCTTATTATCTTGTGTAATCCTGTTTCTATTATGACATCCTCTACAATCTGGAACTCATTAAATTAATTTGGAAAATAATAAATATATTTTCGCATACATAGAAATCTGACAGTGGAGACAGATGAAAAATTTTTACTCTGTACTTCAAACTCAGCTCAATTTTTAATTTAAAAAATATTTCCTCCTTTTTCTGGCTTCACTTTGACAGTTTTACTCTTGTCATAATCAGCAGAGTACTTTCGTCTGTCACAGCCAATATGATTTGCTCTCACTAGGTTTAAAGCTCTCCAAGGCTCTGCTTTCATCCCATCCCTGTACACGGCTTATGTCCATCATCTCCAACTCTCACCCTGCTACATTCGACCTCTGCCTCCATTTGCTATCTCGAGGGATGTCAAGCTCAGTGCCTGCTTCTCAATTGCCCTAGGTGTGAAACAAAACTCTTCTAATATTGGGAAGTAGCTGTCCTTTTTTATTAGATCAATCCCCTGGAAATAGTAAGTAAAAATGACCGAAATATAAAGATGCAGCAATATTTAACTGATTCCAAGTCCCCCCCTCCCCTTTTGGATCAGAGATCTATAAGCGTCGATATCTACAATGAATATGGCAGGTTTCCTTTCTCTGAAAGGAGTAGTGCATCTCGAATTGAAACAATATGGCCCATGATGCCGTGCGAGCTTGCAGGATGTCTGCTTCTCTGGATAGAGATGAAATGAATCAGTATACCTGGGAGGAGCTGGAACATCTACTGCGATAGGAATGACCCTATTTCTCATACCTCCTTTTTTCACGTAGAAATTTATGATAATAACTGACTTGTTTTAATTTATTTTTTAGTTTTTGCTATAACTTGTGCACTCATTGGACAGAGAGAGAGGAAGAAAGTAACAAAGCATACCCCCTCCCTAAGAGGTATAGCCATGTCACAATTCCTTCTCTTCCATTCTCCCCTTGGGATTTTGGGCACACTCGCACATGCACCTGGTATGATTTTCAAGCTGTGGAGTCTAGGATTGAATCGTAAAATCAGCCATGTAGGAATCTAGCCTCTTTAAACTCCACACCACCTGCTGGACTGATAATAACTGACCTTTTCCTGTGCTTGTTAGGACATCTACAGACATCAAGGTATGGGGCCAGTCAGTGGTGTGGTAGATACAGTGCCTGTATCCCACATAGCCAACTTCACAATGTGAGTCTTAGACTTGGTGGCTTGAAAAACACACCAGGTGTGTGTGTGTGTGTGTGTGTGTGTGTACCCAAAATCTTGAGAAGAAATGGAGAGATTGCATAGTGGCCATCCCCCTGGGGGTTTGCTTTCTTCCTTTTTCTTTCTTTGTCTTTCTCTCTGTCTCTCTCTGGAGAGAGCACATTCCCTTATAGAATTTTTTTTTAAAAGAAGAAGAAAAAAGAAAGAAATGTAAGGTATGAGTTATTGCTCTCAAATACTCAAGCAGAGAACTCTGTTTAAATCCTTCCATACATTAAATGACACATAGCAAAGAGAGATGAAACTTGTATATTAGGAAACAGTCTTTCAACATAAAAGTAAAATCAATGGGCATATTTTTTTAAAAACACTGTCTGAATTGTCTTCCTTCTAATAAATTTAATTGTTCTAGCTGACCCATAGAGACAGCTTTCTATTAATCTTTCTGATAGCCCTGGGAAACCTTATCAGTTTATATATACTCTTCAGTATCTTCTCTGCTAGTAGAAACCTTTTCTCTATGTACCAAAAATAAATTAATTACTTAATTGTCTTAATAGTAAATGCTTTTTTATATGTAAAAAAAAATCTTTTAAGAGTCAGCCAGTGGTGTGGTCATTAAGGTGCTGCATCTCACATGATCAACTGTGTGTTTTGAATCCTGAACCCAGTGCTTGAAAAACATGCTAGATCGGGACCAGAAGTTAGTGTAACAGCTATGTCACTGGACTGCCACGTAGTCGACCATGGTTCGAGTCCCGGACCTGGTGGCTTAAACTTACGCCAGGCGCGTGTGCGTGTGTGCCCAAGATCCCGAGAGGAGAATGGAGTAGAAGGGATTGCGGCGTGGCCATCCCTCCTGGGGGGTGATTTCTCGCTTTCTATCTCTCTGTCTCTCTCTGTCTTTCTGGCAAGTGCACGCATCCTATAGCAAAAACCTCTCAAAAAAAAAAAAAACATGCTAGATATATATGTGTGTGTGTGTGTGTGTGTGTGCCCAAAATCTTGAGGGGAGAAATGAGGAGAAGGGATTACAGCATGGCCAACCCTGCTTGGGAGTTCTTTCATTTCCCCTGCCCCATTTTGGAAAACACATGCAATCTATAGCAAAATGACAAAAACAATATATATAATAAAACTTTGTTTATTCCTTTTACATAGTAGAATCTAACATAAGACGGCACTATATCAAATAAAGATTTTTTTCTTTTTCTTTTTAATTTGCTAAAGAGTGCCAGTGCTCAATGGAAAAAGATGAAAAGAAGAATGAGAAAGCACCCACAGTCCACATGGAGGATGGTCACACCATAATCCCTTCTCTTCTTCTCCTTTTCAGATTTTCGGTATGCCCAGCATTTTTCAACCACCAGGTCTGAGACTCTAACCACTCAGTTGGCCCTATGGGATCTAGCAGCCATAACCACCATGGTACCAACTGGCTCTAGCAAAGAATTTCTATCAAGTTGTTTTTAGTTTAATACAGAAATATTGACATTCAAGCACTCTCTCGTCTGAATAAGATAAGAACCATGAATGGCCAATTTGTTTCATTGGACTGGGGCCTTTAATTTGTTTTGATAATTACTAATCTTACAGTTATCAACTAATTCAGAGTTAGCCAATATAAATCAAAATCTCAGGTGAGGAAATACTGTTGACTTAATATTTCCAAAGAAAATGGACGCTGTCATATCTAGGTATTCTCGCCAATATCTTAAAGTTCCATTCCCCCCTAAATTGATCCTATGTTTCTCCCCTTCATCCAAACAGAAAGAAAAAAATAAATAAAAAAGAGAAAGAGAAATATCTTTCAGCTAGTTACCAATGAAGCTAAAAGTCCTGTCATAGTAATCATCAATCACAGAAGTGAACAGAAGTACTGTTGTATTTCTATGAACTGAGATTCTCTGTTGTGTGTTTTATTAGGTTCTGCTGCCATTGGCAATAATTACAGTAAGTAAATTTGTAAATTTGTACCGAATACAGTTATCTCTGTTAATTATTCTGCAATGAAATTTTTCTGACATAGGTAATTTTTTTTTTTAAGCCTTGATATAGGGTGCATGTGTTCACCAGTGAGCAACAGACAGAAAGAAGAGAGGATAAGTGAGAAAGCACCCCTTAGAGGAGATGGCCACTCACAGCAATTCCTTCCACTCTCAGGATCTTGGACAGGCATGCACATGTGTCCAGGGCTTTTTCAAGCCATGGGATCCAGGTCTCAAACTGCATAGTAGACTATGTGGGATCCAGTAGCCCTAACCACTGTATCAGCAGCTGGCCCAGTAATTTAATTTCTACTAGAACTTTTATATAAAGTAGCATGAGCCAAGAATGCATATATGTGGGTTCTCAAATAATAATCTGTAAACATTTTTCTGCTTATTTCCTTTCTTGACGCCTTATAAGTGATACTTTAAAAATATTTTAAAAATAATGACTGGAAGGCACTCAATAAATATCCACTGTTTTTCCTGATTCTTCTACTCCAACAACTTGCATAAATTTTGTACAGCATAGGGACTATTAGAGAGCCAATCATACTGTGTTTCTTTCTCTCTCTCTTTTTCTCTCTCTGTCTTCAGAAAAGTTTACAGATAAGGACATTTGTTTGAATCTTGTCTCCTGTCCTAACTATATTCTTCACTTTTTCTTTGGGTGTCAAACATATCATCAACTTGATTGTCTATTAAAGTAATCAGCATTGCATATAAATGGCAACACCATACTATATAGCTATACTTCTAGTATTTTTCAGAGAATATATTATTGAACTCAAAGTTGCCTAGTATAAATTGAAAGCTCAACTAAGAAAATATTGTTGATTAAAAATTTCCTAAAGGGTAAGAAATCTTTTTTTTTTTCCTTTTTAGAGAGACTTGTGCCCTTGCTGTAGGGCACATGTG